TATATAAATATATATATTAAAAAAAAAAATCAAATGTTTTCATAAATTGTTTACGCTCTTTGTTTATTAAAACATAAGCCATAGAGTGCATAAGCGCTATTGCAAGGTCCGCGTTGCCAGAATATTTGACTAATACAAGACAAGAACCATCCCTCAAAGAAATTATAATTCATCTATAGATGTTGGTGCTATTATACGTGGGTTAAATGTCGGTGATCTATATATAGTTCTTCTTCTGTCTTATCGCATAGTTGCAGTCTGCAGTTTTCAACAGCAAATGACCGCCTCTGAACACACCGAGATCCATATGTAGGCATATAGGAAGAGGCTATTGAATCGATCTAAAATGTCCCTCTTAGCAAGAATATTTATATATTACATTACTTTAAGGGCATACTCCTGAGCTTTACCAAGCAAGAGGCTAAGACAGTTTGAGCTTTGGACAACGACAAAAACAAACTCCCCCTAATATTGTTACCTTGCAATCTCTTCACATTCGTGTATCGGCATTCAAACTCTACAAACTTCAACGCGACGACCTACATATTCAAGTTTGATTTCTAGCAATGGATCTGTTCTTCACGGTCTTTGCTTCTGAAATCGAATTAAATAGTAAAAGCCAGCATTTATTGTTACTGGGTTGACTTGGGAGATTTCCTTAACATTATGCAAAAGTCAGTAAATACAAACCTCTATATATTGTTGCTTAAAATGCCCTTTTTTTTTTTTAATTAAGTTCCCGCCGCTGAGTTGCGATTTCTACGATAGCGTAGTTTATTTCTTTTCGTTTTCATTCTTCTCGCGTCCTTGTCCACTCGAATATTGCGAATAAGCTCGCTTCGCGCAACCGACTTTGCCCTCCCCGAATATTATACTTACGATTCTTTACGCTCAAGAGCTCGTCAGTCACCAACTACTTTATAACGTCGGCAATGAAAGCGTCATGAACCTGTTTTAGGCTTTTTACATTTTAAAAATTTCGTTTCCTGAAAGAATATCAAGTGGTTTTCATATTGATTAACCAATATATTACGTAATACTTTGGCGACTATACGTCCTTCGTATGATATAAATAACAAGATACTCTTTGGCTCTTCTATACGATAATAATGATTGGCATTTAAATTCTTCTTATCGAACGAATGGTTCACTCTTGCAAGAACATATAATGCAGTGCGGTTGTAAAAGTTGGCACATTTTTAACCCGGTCTATTAAAACCCGAATATCAAGCGAATATCGAATTCAAAATGTTCAAGAACTCGTCCCAAATATTGCGAAAAAATTGATTGATCAATATTTGAGATCGTGTAAGATCCCCACCTTTATGTCGCATAATTATCTCCTCATGTCAAAGGATAACGTCATCTTTTGCTGACTAAACGTAAAATAATTTTTTTTTGAATTTATTTTCAAAAATTTTGAAAACAATATCCACAACATTGCGGTTTCATTCTTTGCCAGAAAAAAAATATAATAGCTTTCTACGGTGTATTGCGACTGGCGACGGAAAATGGATCTACTTGTCCAGGACACCCATGCACATCGACATCGAAGCGGAATAATCGCGGCCATGAACTTTTGCTGTGCATAGAATGGGAGCGGCAAGGTGTAGTGTATTACGAGCTGCTAAAACCGAATGAAATTGTCACTGACATCAACTGAACCAATTGATCGATGTGGTGTTGCAAAAAAGACCAGCAATAGCGGTTAATAGACACAAAGTCCACATCTTGCATGACAATGTTCGGCCACTCGTAACAAGAGCTGCCAAGGTTCCACAGGTCACAGCCCGAAAGGAAAGTTTGCCAGCAGTCAGCATAGTCACTAGGCATAGAGCGTTTTGATTACCATTTGTTCAAATCGATACAGCATGGCTTGGCTGGCACACGGTTCCGAAATGCTGAAAAACTACGAAAATGTGTCGATGATTGAATGGCCGCCACCCCAATATCGTTCTTTCGACACGGTATTGCCATGTTGCCAGAATGACGGAAAAGAAATGATGCAAATATATATGTGTTGTACCAAGTTTTCTCAATAAATATCTTGTTCAAGTGAAAAACTTACCAAAACACATGCAAGCCTACCTAATATTTTTGAATTCAGGTACCCAAATGAAAGCACAAATCGTATATATGCCAAGTGACAGGTCGCGCGAAACAGTTCATTTTCTGTTTAGATCTTCGTTCCTTGCACTGTCACAGATCACAGATAAGTTCTTTATAAAATTGTTTTAAAAAATTGTGATTGATTTCGATTTTCTTTTTCTCTTCTGTTTTATTATTATTATTATTATTATTATTATTATTATTATAAATTTGGCCATAGAATAAATTCCAAGACTAAAAATCTTAAAGCACTAGCACCTAGCAAGACTTTCGGGTTTATTAAAATCTCTAGCGCACTTGAACCACGACCATTGAAATTGCTGATCGAGATTCTTGCCCTTTCGGCCACTCGGATGGATTTTGTTGAATTTTAATTTATCGAAAAAACTCCAAGATGCTCGCTAGAGAATGTTGGTCGCGAGCAACAGCTTTAAGATTAAAAGTTTCACTACGGTACACATGTTTCTTTGCTTCTAATTTGATCTGGCTCGGCCATAATGATACCTCTCAACGTATAGTTTGGACATCTGCATATAAGAGCTTAGTTGTGCGGTGCCCAATTAGTACATCGATGTAATCGGAAGCGTCCATCAAGCACGGACACCGTCCAATTGCTTTCAATGAATTTTCACACCTCCTAACAGAATTGTATTTAAACTTATTATCATTGTTACATATGTTTGCAACATGTTATTACTTTCGATTCATGATTATTTTCTGAAGTTCATCTTACTTGATGTCTGTCTACTTCATTGCATTGATATTGAGATATATTGAAGACATTTACCTTTGACGGAAGGGCGAACGCTACTAAAAAATGAATGGAACAGTCGTTAAATGAAAAAAAACTCTTTTGATAAAAATTGTGTGTTGATGCGATCACCAAACGAATCTGGAGAAGCATAATTTATGCAAACTATTCGACAATTGAAAAACGAGTCGTTACACGGGATCCAGGATAAAAAAGGCACAAGACACCGTTAATGATTGGACGCTTAAAGTCAAATTCATCTTAAAGTTCCGTAATAATATTAAATAATAATAACTGCTTGTGCCGCACAACTGCTCTTCATTTTTAAACATCCGTCCCATACGTGATTTATACTTGTCTTCTCCTTCCAAGTCATATACAAATTTTCTCTTCTCATGCATAGTGAATGCTTATGAATTTATTCTACACTTATAAAGTACATAACGTGACCATAACTTTTCAAACTATGTACTCAATAAAGAAACACTTTTTGTTAAATTTTTATTTGCTAACCTATAAAATATCTCATCCTACGTGCTCTATTTAACCCTATATAGGACAATCGTACTATGTTAAGAGCATAATTGTGTATTCTGCTGCCACAGAGCCATGTTAATACTTAAATCATCCGAAAAAAAATTTGTTTTTAAATGGACTCAACATTAATTAAAAATGAACAGGGTTTCTTTACTTTTCATCTAATATAACAGAAGAATGTTATCGTCATTGTTGAAATTACAGTGAAACCTTAGCTTGCCTAACCAAACATACGTAACTCATAGTCAATAGAAATAAAACAATCAAAAGTATGAAAGTAAACTATAGATGCTAATGTGTACACATACTAATTTATATATAGTATAGAGGCGATTATTATAGAATGTGGAAAAAAGTAAAACTCCTTCTACAAATTAAAAAAATCATCTCTTTTTACAGCTCTTGTTTATTAGATAAATAAATTAACTTTAGATTTTTTCGCGAATTTGCTCACCTAAAGTTATTTTACATTTGGTTTGATTTGGTTTTCAGTGTACAATATTCTAATCGAAAAACAAAAATAAGTCATTGCGAGAACACCTGAGCCGGATTTTTGTGACTTTAAACAACAACTTAAGTAAAATGTGATATAAATTCTTATTAAGTATATGCGTGTGTGTGTGGGTTAGTATAACGTGATCTATCGGCCATCTGCTTTCCATCTCTTTATCTCTCTTTCTCTCTCGTTCTCTCTCGTTCTCTCTCTTTCTCTCTCGTTCTCTCTCGTTCCCTCTTTCTTTCTTTCTCCCCCTTGGAAATTATTTTCCTCATCTCATCAATGATGGTCCGTCAGTATCGGATATGTAGAGGCGAGCCACTGAAGCCACTGATAAGATGAAATCAATGCGCACTTAATATCATAAGAAAAGGTAAATAAAATTTGCGTACAATTTCTTGGAATTGGAAAGTTCTTTTCTGTTTTTTTATTTATAGGCGTGGTCATTTTTTCCCGTTTTGGTACAAGTGCTAAAGCACCGCCTATAGAACACAAACATCTAATTTTTTCTTCTTTTTGAAAACCAAACATGTTCTCACTTTATCTAATACAGTAGGCGTGTCTTTTCACCGATTTGGCCTATTTTCAGTACCAGTCTGTGCAAAAGAGCTTCCAATGTTTTTACCAAACTTAAAATCGATAGCTTCATTTCTGCGGCCATTACACAGTTGAAGGAATATAAACACTTGGACAAAGTGAGTATACTCCTTGTCCTGGGACGATAGTTATAATAAACCCTTTAGAGTTTAAGTATTCTAAGGTTTTTTTATTTAATTAAGACACTCATGTCATGTTTGGGTCTCAAAGCAAAATTTCTTTACAAAAGGTTCCACTGTAAATAAGTTTCCTATGTAGCATCTACAGCATCGCTCGACCAGATGAATTTGCACGCAACTTAATGTTGATTTACAACTCAGTCCATTAACATCAATCATTTCCCACCGATATATTCAAGTGAACGGTCGATCATTTTGAAACGCTTGACAGGCAATTATTTAATGAAAAGAACAAATAATTCAACATAAAAATAAAAATGTTTATAATGTAAAGTGTGATTGAAATAACGGAAAAGTAAAATTAAAATAATTTTTCATTGAGAAAAATTAAATTAAATAAAATGAAATAAATTACGAACTAAAAAGATTTTTATTCGCTTTGATCCCTTTGTTCGCTTATTCATAGAAACTGGTTCTGAGCTACTTTCACTTAAAATACCCTAAATTTGAAAGCCATCTCTGAATCAAGTTGTAAGTCATTAAAAAAAAAAAAAAAAAAAAAAAAAATTCAGACAATATTTATTTAACCTTTAAAATTAAGCCGGGGACATTTTTTAAAATGTTACTTATATGAGCAGCAAGTAAGAGTTTACAGTTTACGTCTCACTCTGACTTGCAATTTCAAGCGAAATCGAAAGACTTATAGACAGGCGATTGTCTAGTCAATACGGAATTTCATACTAATCGAAATTATATACAAAATTTTTACAATTTTTACAATAAAAAAAGAAATAATAATAATAATAAAAATATATTCTCGGAAGAAAAATGGATTACACGCGAGACAAAAAATATGCTGACAATTATACTAAGGGTTTTCTTTGAAGAAACCATGTGAGAAAAAAAAGTTTAGTGCCCTGTGTGTTAATGCTTATCTCTGAAATTCTTTTTCCCTACGCCACTTGCGGTATATGGATATATTGAATTTGTGCAGATAGATGCAACGGCCATAAAAACTTTTATCATAGCTTTACTATAAGCTTGTTACTCTGTTTGTCCGTCCTCTATTCTTATGTTCAACCTACAGCACACCATTCTTCAGGTAATATTGATAAAATTTGATACACTGACTGGTTTTGGCTCAAGGACGAAAATCTCTTCAGTTTGACAGCATATAACGCTTTATTTCAAACTTCGTAATACGAATAACTGTGAGGCGGCGTAGGATATTTAATGATGGGCATTTTGTCACTATACTGTGTGGTGTGTCATGTGGGCGTCGATTAAGCCATCGCGACATTTTTCGATTCAAAACTTCAGCTCCGCCAACTTTTTCGATAGGCAAACTCTATACCTTGCAAGCGTTATTACTTACAATAGACTTGGGCTCTTAAGATTTTTTGGATTCAATTTAGTGACCAAGTGAATCGTCCAAGAGCGTTTTGATTTACAATCTTATCTTCCATCTCTGCAATCACAAGCACAGATGTGAGCGCGACTAAGTCCGATGAAAGGAAAATTCGTAGCGTTTTTCCTTCAAAATCTAAACACGATGTTCTTATAGCTTAATGTAGGTGATAATGATTCTAATGTAGGTGTAATAGATTCTAATCGATAACCTTTTGCAATTTTTCTGTTAAAGCCATTTTGTGATCGGTAAGTGATTTTGGCAGACGTCTTTACAAAACAGCTTTCACAACACAACTCAGAGAGTTCTCTGCAGAGCGGTGCAACAACTTGTGATCAGATGAGGATGGATACGTGAGCATTTCGCAGTCAAGGTCCTTCACCTTTAGCCGAGTCTTTAAATATACATGCGATCTGGCGTCCATCTAGTATAAGAAGACAACGCTTCCGCTGTAATAAGTGATAAGAGTAAAGAGTGCAGTCACTCGTTTCGTCAGGTCCCCTGTGAACACCTTCCACCTCGCGAAACGTAAAGCTTTACTTCACATGGCGTCAATGCAAGCTTTATCGCCGTTTGTACCGCGATCTTTTCCGCATCTTATTCTCTAATGGCGGTCGATAGGTCGGTTACTGTTACCAACGTTACGCTATTCTAAAACTATCTATTGTGAAGAACATTAGATAGTTTTTCCCTTATCTCTTATATATAGAACTCAGATATTTCTTATGTCGTCGATGATAAAGACAACAATAACATGAATGTCATTGAGGTATCTGCGAGGTAAATGTGACTGAACAGTGAACAGCAGCGACTTTAAACTGTAAACAATTGAAGTCAAATTGAAGCCTTTTACCAACTATTGTCTGGTATCGGGGTCCCAAATTCCCAGAGAAGAATCCAAATTACAACTGTGTTCGTGCCGAATGACTAGGGAAGAGTTCTTCACATCATATTTCAGGGTTTTATAGTTTTTATTTATACTCTATGCATAATCCAATAGACAGAAAAGCTTTTGGAAATATTATCAGACGATTGATTGGTCGATACTGAAGTTACGAGAAACGTAGATCAATTAAATCAATCGAAATCGTTAATTTATGGATATCAGTAATAATTGCCGATCGAAATGAGAATCATTTTGACGATCAAATTTTTGAAACTGATCCTGATCCTGATCCTGAAATCTCTCACGCAAAACGCCCAACTTTTTACGCGTTCGCACAGCGAAATGCATTGCGAAGCCCAATTTTTTTCCTGCTTCTTTTGCATATCCAAAATCTAATTAAGCTTTGCCTACATCAGGAATATCAAATGCGAATGTGTTCTTAAAATGTCGTCAATTCCGGCCAATAGATGAACGAGCGTATAAAGCATTTTACGGGATATGTTGGAAATTCACTATGAAATGTTGAATAGAAGAGAAACGTCATTGCTCAGCTTCTTAATGATGCAACAGGTATTTGTATAATTGTACTTGTATTCTCCATAAATCGAAGATTCTAGGACGACTTGTTCAGCTTCTAAGAGATGCAATTATGCATATGTTTAACTACAACTTGGATTATTAAATTATTCATGTTTGAATATGTGTGCGACTATAGCATGTCAAATGCAAAGGAAAAACAATAATAAAAATCGGTAAACATTACAACTAACAAGAGATGGTCATAAAGTGGATTAAGATGAGAGTATAACATAACTGGAATTCAACACGAACTGATTACCAGCCTCTGTTCATATTTGCCTAAAATAATGAGGATTGTAAAATATGCCCTGAGAGACCTAACTTTCTTTTCTTTTTACCTGTTGCGTACACACTTTTTGCCTACAGTTATCCAATAATAATCGATTAACTGCCAACATTTTGTACGCCTTTGTATTCATTCCAAAGAGGCATAAAATATAAATAAAGTTCATTAACATAAACACATTCATGACTAAATCAACCAAACGAAAAAAAAAAAAAAAAACCAAAGCATTTATTTGTATATCATACGCATAAAATTGATCGCATTTTTCTTTTTTATAACCTAATTAAACGTTACAATGTAGTTTAATGACAACTCGCTTTGAGGCAAACGTCGGATACCGTTTCAATAGTCCAGATGCAGTTGTATCTCTCTATATAAAACGAAATGCAAATGCGGGCGCGGTTACAATTATATTTAAGGAATATGTTTTATTTATTTATTTATTTTTTTTTTTTATTCATTTGTGCACCAAAGAATAGAAGACAGACGAAAATGAAGAGACGTACAAATAAACATGTAATAATTTATAGACAGACGAGTGTTGGGATGGTGAGAAATATGATTTGTTGGATGGATGGACGAATGCATGTGTTTCGTGTGTTCAATAATAATTAGACGAACGAAAGGACCGATAAAAAAGTTAGCGTGGCATTTAGATTAAATGAATGGGATGAGAGGAATAGGTTCTTAGATAGACGGGCCGATGTGTGGACGTTGTGCTGATAAATTGATTTTTTTTAATAAATGGGTGAGCGGATAATTGAGTGGACAGTTGGTCGTTGGACAGGCGTATGCCTAATGGAATGGACAAGCAATGAATGAGTTTGTAGACACGTCTTTAAACGACAAGGAACCGTTAAATAAACGAACGGATGAACAATAACTATAGTTATATATATATATATATATATACTAGATGTGCATGCATATGTGAATTCTTTGTTAAATCTTCCCGGTCTAGCAGTCGCTCCTTCAATGCGATAGAAAACTGTATACTTATACGTCAAGCATTTGCATTTGCTTTGCTTGTCAAGTAACTGTAAATTATTAATGCCATGCCATGCAATTAAGTAGTGCAAGAAATATTAATTAAAATACAGTTCCACGCCTCTCTATTGACAAGCGCTACAATGCACAAGCAAATAGATGACTGATGATATGATGATGAGGTGGTTAAGGTCTTCACGACCACATATATGTTTGCTAGCAAAGCAATATTCAAGTTAACGAATAAATTGTTTTAAGGAAAAAGAAGCAAAAAAAAAAAGAAAAGCAGGTAACCGCAGAAAATGATATTAATAAGCAGGACAAAGGCGCAATAGAAAGCAAAATGAAAATAATAAAAATTAAATGACAATTAATATTGAGTTAAAAATCATGGCAGACTGGCATGACATATAGTAAAATTAAATCAACTGAAATTGAAAATTAAATAATTAAATTATTTTGAAATAATTATTGCTTTCAGTTTAATTTACAACTATGATTATTTATTTATTTCTATGCATATATATATTTGTTTTTTTTTTTTTTTTTTTTTTTTTTTTTTGCATTTAACATATGTCTATCTGTGACTGCCAGCCTTGATTTTTACATATGCCTGCAGTTTGCAATCAAAGATAAAGGCTCAATTTAATTCAATTTTCATTTATTGCCCATATTAGCATTTGTGTATGTCGTCCCTGTACACAATCCCTCTTGTTGTTGTCATAGAGATGATGTTTATTAATTAATAGAAAAATACTCCCTGGTTTTTGTTGCCAGGATGGTTCTTTTTGTCGTTTCATGCTAAGTTGTTGCCTTAATAATAAAATGTATTGATTTTATATTAGGTTTTTTTTTTTTTTTTTTTCTCTCTCTCTCTTTTCTATACGCATATGCACATGTGTCATTGCAAGCACAAAGAACACCAATAGCAATTAAATTAAAATCAAAAATGTTTTACTACTAACTCATAAAATAAATCCTAATCGATTTAGATCTCATCATAATGAACTAAATTTTATGCAATTCGCAAAACCATTAAAAAATTAAAACCGTAATAGCACGCACAGTGGAAAATGCAGTAAAAAATATCAATATATCTCGACATTAGATGGCATGGCATCATTCACAACAGATTTAAATAAGTTTTGTGATAATGAAAATTTTAATGCAAATAAAATTGAACACGTTTAGGAAAGCATTTAACTTAAGACTATTTGTTGTTGACGTGATGATATAGAGCTAATGATGCAGAGGTTTGAGTATACCTGTCCGTATCACTTAATTTTAAAACGCAGATAGTAAGCTCTAATATATAGTTGGTGTACGAATTATATACGTCTAACACACTTTCGTCCTAAGCGATAGAAGAGAGGTGCACTCTCAAGACATCAAAGTAATAGGCTTTCAACGTTGTGCAACTATTAAACTACTGGGCCTCCTTTTACTGCAATTGAAAATATGCATTAGTTTGCCTTAAAAGGATATCCTCTGGTATGCGAAAAAGGGAGAAGTTCCAGATACTGAATGAACAATATTCGTATATAATATAAGGTGGACAGACGGACCGACAAGCTTACAATATATAAATGAAGGTCAATCTGAAAAACAAACCTAAAAGATGGGTCTATCTCAAGTCGATCTGGGCGTTGAGCATATCCGCACAAATTTGTAACACAAGCGTGGTAAGGTTCCATATATTATACGATTGAAATTAATTCGATTAATTAATATCCATCAAACAAAACAACGTTTGTAAAGGAAAACACATAACGAAGCATTTATTCTTTTAAATATATAAATATATAATATATTAAATACAGTACTCATACTGCTTTATACGTGCTCCATACTGCTACAGTCCAGTCCAAGGGTTGGCGGACTTAAGCACTTGGGTTTCCCAAGCACTATGTGTAAAACTTATCGAAAACATTGTTGCAAGGTTATGTATAAGAGAAGTTACAAACTACAAAATTAATTTTCTACGTAATTTATTATCTAGATCTGGCAATGAAAAGAAATAATTAAATCTTCTATCGTGATATCGGTTCGACATTTTTATTAATTACAAAGGCATCCTTTTCTTTTTTCTTTTTTTTTTTTTTTTGTTACGTGGGTCTTACGATTGCGTTACAATCTTCTGCGTTTGCGTAGCATTCGCGACATAACCAAAGGGATGTACTGTTCCAAAAACTTCCAATAACTTCTCTGCGATCCTCTATAAAAAATCTTGCAACATATCCGTAACCTTCGCAAATAAGCTATGCTGATTGACTATTTCTTCGACGACAGCTAGCAAGATTAACCTTACTACGATCCTACGATCGAACACCAAACGTTCTGTAAAATTTTTTGGCAACTTCCTGGAAAACTTGCGTTCCACTGGCAACAGTATTGCGATATGATCACATTCTTTAAAAACGAAATATATGTTTCTTGTAAAAACTTGTGACAAAGCTCATCGTTCCAGTGCTCCTTTGGAAAGCAAATTAACTCAAATATAATTGAATTCAAGTCAGACAATTCTGCTTTGATCGAATCAACTCATCTAATAGGAACTTACCTCTCTATTCAAAATGCAATAATCGCTTACTTGTTATTTATTCGTATATTTTTCTTTCATTTCGTTCATTGTATTATTATTATTATTATTATTATTATTATTATATATATATATTTATCTGGGCAATAATTAAAAAAAAACTGAAACTTTCTTTATGATTCCACATTAAATAACTACTTACTGAACTAACTATATTTCTCACTTCCAAATTTCCTCAGCAGAGGTAAACAACTTTGTTTTGTTAAACGAGTATATCGCAAAAGTTTTCATGCGTCTTCTCCTTTGCATTCTATGGCGAAGTGAGTAGAAAATTTATTGCGGTTTATTTGTTCAACTAAAGGCAAACCGAAGTAATATAAATGCGTCATTATTATAGAAAAATTTGATTAACAGATAACTCATTGATTATCCCAGTGGGCCATTTGTAATGTTTAAGCACAATCACAAGCACACATGCTAGCGTAACATGCAACTTATAAGCAATGATATATGAATTGTTGTTTCACATTTGCAACTTGAACTTGAGGTTAAGTAATATTCCCCAAATGAAGAAGAAAATAACATTTGGATGTGTTAACCATAAAAAGCAATAACAAAAAGAAAAAAAAAAATGTTTACAAAGGAAGTTGAAAGTAAAACTACTTCAATTTTAGGAGAAAAGAACCAAAGCAAATCATATTTCTTTTAATTCAAAATAGGTGAAGTGTAAAAACTCTCGAAAAGGTTTGGTAAATAATTTCAAACTGTGCCGTAAGTGGCTTATAATAATTTGTTGCCTAAACTAACTTTGCAATTATTTCTATACCAAATTTGAATTCAAATTCAACTAACTTTACAAATTTCACTTTCTTGCTTACTTACTTAGTTACTTAGTTACGTAACGTACATGCAAAGTGTACGTGTATTTGTGTAATCATCATATTAAATTCCCTTCTCTAAAATGATCATGTGATCGAGTTAACATTAACATGCTTCACAAGTTATACAATAATTATACTCTTGGTTAACGATCCGAGAAGAGGAAGAGAATTGACATAATGAGCACAGATTTCTCTATCCGTTGACTTTTGTGCTCGTGTGATAGTAATTTTGTTGATGTGTCCATGTGTCCATGTATCAATTCTGCAAGCTAATGCTGAAAATTCCCGCTCCCGCACAGCTATGCTTTACTTAGACCAAGTCAACCTGAAATTGTGTTACAACTAAGGAAAAGAGACAAGGTTGAGATGGGAAATGATATCTGCCAACTGCAAGAAGAAAATTGTGTTTTCCGTTTTCAAACAGACATTCAAACTTATTTGCCTAGAAGTGCTGAGTTATTCGAATAATTGATCTCCAATACCTTAGGCGCTATGTATTTCATTCAGCAAAAGGTGAGTGCACATCCAAGTCCCAAACCCACATATCCTTCCACTCACATATTTCTTTATTATTTCATACGCGAGTTTCCTTCTGCAGTCATCTCTATCGTAGGTAAAACGAGAAGTTAGTGTCTATCAAAGCCATGTTAATACGGACCGAATCGCTTATATTTGCGAAGATCGGCAGCACTCACGTTTTATTTTCAAAACTTTTCTCGTACGATTGACATAAATTTTCGCGGAAAATTGTGGATATAGAAAAGAGCGTTGGTTTCCATCTATCACTGGCAGATGCTCTTGTTCTTGGTATTTGTAGTCAAGAAAACTCTTGTATATATATATATGTAGAGAGAGAAAGTAGCCAGCACGAAAACAAAAAACTATGAAAATTTTATTTTAAAAAATGTATTTAAAAAAAAAAAACAAAGGATTTTAAAGAGCGAAAAGAAAGCACGACAAGCTAAACTTTCGAATAATATGTTTGATGGGTATAGATGATAAATATAAATTCTCTGTTTGCTTTTTTTTTTTTTTGTTTTTAAACTTAGGTAACATGTCTCTGAGTTTTGGTGAAACCCCGCCGGATAACAAGAAATTCTTACGAGAATTTCTCTCACACCTCTACTTGGAATGTATGGTGCGCTATAAAAACGATACATTTATAGGAAATGCAGTAAATGAAACGGAGGAAAACACGATCGATATTTTGACCGAAGTACCGATTTATCTAGAGGAAGCCGTCCTTAATCAAGGCTCTATCGATTGGGCAAACCTAAACGAAGAGACATCCAAATTGCAAGAATTATACGCAACCATAAGCTCAATGACTGTTGCACCTGATATCAGCGATATTACGAATAATAGCTTTGGCGAAATCTCATCGACTTCTTTCTACGAAGAGAGTGATGACGATAAAGTTCATTGTCCTGTGCGTTTCGATGGCTATTTATGCTGGCCCCGTACACCGGGCGGTAGGATTTTAAGCCAGTATTGTCCTGATTTTGTCGAAGGATTCAATAGTAAATTTTTAGCTCATAAAATGTAATGATAATATATATATGTACACATATATATATATGTATATCCTTTTTATCATTATTTCATTATAAATGCAATGAAATATTATTGAAATATTTTCATGAACATGCCGTAGTTGCTTGGAAAATGGCAGTTGGTATCGCCATCCGGAAAGTGGTCTTGAGTGGTCTAACTATACTAATTGCATAGATTATGATGATCTAGCGGTATGTGTTGCTTGACTTTAATACGCAGCCACCACATCCAGCCTTTACATGAATTATTTCTTCTATATCGTCTAACTTTTAGTTACCTATTTAGGCGTAGGTGCCAATTATTAAAATTATCCGAACAATGGCAGCTAAGAATGTATTATTATATTTCAGGATTGTTTATTTCAACAATGGACGATAGACAGAGAGAATGATCGATGGGCAGATAGTCAAACATGGCTGATATGTCTACCTCAAGTCAAGATATTTCATGCCAGTTAAAAAGATATGGTACATACATTCATGGTACTTAGTCCGAGGTATTTGTAATAATAATGTCAGATAGTCCGATATGGCTACGTTGACGCGACTTCTGATACTTATCATAAACATAAATACTTTAAATAGTGTAGATGGGGTAGTTGATGAGATTTTCACAATATTTCAAATGGACAGACAAATCCCATTTTAATGGACAGACAATGCCCATTGTGGTGGCTGTAATAAAAAAAAAAAAAATAGATTCACGTTTTTTTTTTTTTCTCGTTTTTCCTCAAAATAAGTTCCGTCGTTTGGTTAATGAGTTATATGTGAAAGGTTACTCGGTATCCTGCGTAGCCTTGTGCTTGTCTTTGATCATATTTCTAGGTTTTAAGTAAGTTACCATTTCTCCTTAAGATCCCATATCTTTCCCTTTACTCCGAACTGCAATTTCCTTCTTCAAGGTCACTACGTTGCACTCGCATACGTATTCATGTTCATTTGTTTGCTTCGTTGGCCCTCACCTGTATTGTCTGGATTCTGTGGTATAAGTGTATTATTGAACAACCCGAGATGATTTATCGTTATCCGGTAAGTATGCAATGGAATTCATCAATTCGAATATCTCTGATCTCTCTTGTTTTTAAAATAATTTTCAAATTTTTTTTTTTGGCAACTTAGTTACAGTGCATTAGCCTACATTTATTAATACATTATTTCATGTTGGTTAACTACTTTTGGATGTTTTGTGAAGGGTTGCATTTGCATTTAGTATTAGTGGTGGTAAGTCATATACTTACCTCAAATTAAGACAACTTTTCCTGCTTAAAATTGTTACATATATACATATATACATATATATCCATCCATACATATCCAAGAATTTCCCTTTAATCGAAACCTTAATAAAATTAATTATTATTGCTGATTAATTTTAAAATTTTATTAAAAATTCCAAAATAGGTTTTTGTCAAAGACGCTATAGTTATGCGTTGGTTTAAAATTTACTCTTGGTTAGTACCATGGATTTTTATAACCGTTTATGCCGTGGCTAGATATTTTCATCCTACCGACAATGCGCAGTGAGTGACATGATTCTTGCATGTCTACAATGTTAGAGAAATTAAATTGATATTTCATTTTTGCAGCTGCTGGATGGATGAAAGTTTATTGCTATGGATATTTTCCGTACCCATAACCCTATCATTAATTGCTAGCCTTTGTAAGTTAACTTCATTTATTGGTTAGAAACAATTAAGAAACTGACGTTTATTACGCATAGTTTTTCTTATTAACGTGTTGCGCGTAATAGTGCGCAAATTGCATCCACAATCGTCGCAACCAGCCCCTTTGGCCATACGTAAGGCTTTACGTGCCACCATTATATTGGTAAATGATTTATTAAACTTGCATATAAAAAATTTGCCTTTACATATTATTTATATGGCATAGGTGCCCTTGTTTGGTTTACAGCATTTTCTAATACCGTATCGTCCGGACGCGGGTACACCTTTGGAACGCTTCTACCAGCTATTGTCGGTTGCATTGATTAGTTCGCAAGGATTTGTCGTATCCTTTTTGTTTTGTTTTGCCAATCACGACGTCACTTTTGCTGTTCGCACTTTATTAAATCGCATAGTTCCGGGATTAGTGTCGCCACCACCGCCCAGCAGCAATACCGGACAATTGGCCACCACTACACCCAGTCGAGAATTGGGCGTTTAAATGCTTATATGTAGAACAAAAACATAACTGCATAAATTGCAAAAGCAAACAAAAGCGAAAATATTTTATACAAAAAAGGAATAAATAAATCGTATATATACATATATGTGTACCTTGACTCCCTTTGACTTACTGATTTAATTCCCTTTCTTATATTCATATTTGATAAATGCCTGCAAATAAAATTTTAAAATTTTCCATTTCACAACTACCACTGCTACTACGAAATTTTCTGTTTTTCATTTTTTTTTTTTTTTTTTTTTAAGGTTTTATGCGTAGTAATCGTAACGTAAACGAGACGGAACGTTTAAAGTTAGAGCAAGCGACGTGACAATCACTTGGCTACGCTTATACACTTAGCTATATAGGTGTGAATCAGAGCAAATATCGGAACGTTGATCTTGATTTGTATTTTTAATTGGACGGCTTCGTCTCTGTTTCAAAATAATTTCAAATAGCAAAGATTGATGAATATAAAGTTGTAATGAATTTTCAAATACTAGATGATGAGAGAGACTTGTCCAGCAGTCAAGTTTTTTAACGCTCTTATCAACTTTGCCGGAATTTGTCCGTATGCCGCCACCTTGCTATCGGGACTGTTCGTTTCTTAACCGCGCTGTCCATCTCTGAACCATTGAACATACAAAAGTGTTTCCTGGCACTCGTCGAACGTACCCTTCTCTTAAGGTCGCCTGCAAAATTGCCACTTTAGATAAGAAAATAAAGAGTTTCTCGAACACTCGACAACTTTTTCTCTAGACCCTCAATATACGCTTCAATTTTCACAGCGATACCATTATTTGATTTAAATCGTTTTTCCTGGCGTATGAGTTCAATATTTATTAACGGCTAGTAGCTCAAGATAAACGCTCGCTTTCATTTCTTTTCCATATCGAGCGTGTACCTTTTTCATATCTTCTTTTACAGGCAAAGTGTAATGCAAACAAGAGAGCAAACTAATGCTTTCTTGTACGAAAAATTGGAACATTTTTTTCTTTTTTCTTTTTAATATGATCAAACGCTCGAGAATTGTCCCCCTTTTTTTGTGGAACATGCGGAGGATCAACAAGAAGTGAGCAAAGAGAAATAGATAGGGATTAGCCGAAGTCTAGCTGCGAGGCAGGTAACCACTCAATGACTTAATGCTCACTACGACTGCAACCAAAGTAAACCTTGTCGGATTTAAGGCGTGCACTCGCTCACCTATTGGGCGGTTCAACCGGATATAAATAATTCGTGGTTTAAAATGTTACTGAGAAAAGTTTGGAAGAAATATGTTGCATTAGCTTTTTCATATTCTTACAAACGTCATATGCTGCTAATTATTTCTTATCGGCATTCAGTTTTCCGAACGAAGGCTGCAAAATTATATCTTAAGAAAAATTAATGAATAAATAAGTTATTGTTTCTTGATAATTTTTTCATCATTGTTTTTTTTTTTTTTTTTTTGTTTTTTTTTTGTTTTTTTATTTTATTTTAATTTATTTGTTATGAAAGAGCAAAAGAGAGAGTGTAGAACAAAAAACTAATACATAAAATACCAAATACATAATAATTATACATTCATATATAATTCATATAGGTTTTTCTTTTACATATATATACATATGCCTGTATATATGTATATATATATATATATATATATATATATATATATATATATATATTTCATTTATGTGTAGTAAAATTGTGTGGTAATAATATATTTATTTTACTTATAATCCTTTCCTTTTCAATTACTGTCAATTTTCTCTGGCATTACTTTTTGTGAAGATGAGTTTCGTTTTTTATTTTTCTTGGTTTTTGAAGGAAAAGTCTCTATAAAATACTCTTAAAGAAATACTCTTTTAATGAAATATGAAATAATATTATGAAAAGAAATAACGGTAATTAAGAAAAAATTTAAATATTTAAATAAATTTATAAGACGTAGAACTTTGCTTGCAACAGTATGCTCGATCGCAATATATGGATTGGAAATGCTGCTGCAACAAAAAGCTTTGTTTTCTCATTTTTTTTTTTTTTTTATAAATTTATATTGTATTGAAGAATTGGATCCGTCTTTCGACGAATCTTAAATACCCATCACCAATCGACGTCAACGTTCAGTTATGTTGCATTTCAACGTAGCTGTAATAAATCGATTTAAGTACAATTTCCTTCTTTCGTTTTATTCGCATCCTTTCGCATCAATAAGATTAATTCTTTATGAATATTATATATGTTTGGGGAAAACCATTTTCATTTAACACGTCCTCATGTTTTCTGATTTATTATAATACTAGAAAAGCTTAAAAGTTCTCTCCAACTCTCTCTCTATATATATATATGTTTATAAAGAGATGGATTTACGATTGCAGCCAACAGACGGTATTATAGAAATATTTCTCTCTCATTTTAAAGAGTAATTTAACAATTGTTCTATGTAGTCTTTGTTCATTTTAAACTAAAATATATCCCTTGGTTACATGCGAAATGCTTCTTCTTATAAATTTATTGGTTGGTTACTTAGAAAAATGTGTTTACAACCAGAAGGCGGTCAGCAGCAATAAATTTTGCGAATAATTTTATTCAAAAACTTATATTCGAGAATGTAATGAAAACGTATAAGTATATATATGCAAGTGTGTGTTTCTATCTCGCCTTCAAAGGGAGTTTCCAACTTTACGCTGGCTTGGAATTTGCTATTGCAATAGCGAACGTAGGACGGAGCTTGTAAGTTAGTGTTTCTTTCGCGAATATATTCGAAATTGTACTCAACAACTGGGGACAGACGGACAAAAAAGATCTCATCGTTGGGTAAATGAGTGTAAGAAATATTTGAGAAATTAATATTTAATATTATTCTGATTTTTTATTTTTTATTTATTTATTTATTTATTTATTTTGTTTTTTTTTTTTTTTTGTTTTAAGTTAAGTTTTATTTAATTCAAGTTAAAAAAATTTAGTAGACTGCTTAGTTTAAACAATAGAGCGAGAAAGGAGTATGGTTTTTACTAAATTTTATCATTATTTGCTTTTGTTTATGTAAATATATCATATTTAGTTTTTGTTTGTCCGGTTTTATATTGAATGCACACATAAATAATTATAAAATATTATTAATTATATATTGATATTTAGAAAAAAAAATTTAAATATTTGGGGAAATTAAATAAATATCGGCATAAATTATTATTTTATTTTTATTTAATTGTTTATTAATTTTAGTTTTTTTTTTTTTTTTTTTTTTTGTTTTTAACACAAACAACACAAGCACTCACCTGAAATCATCATCAAACACTGAGAGAACCAAATTTGATTATTAAATAAAAATGTTTTTATAGCATTTCCCAAGAGTTCACTACGGGTTTGATCTCGTTTGCATAGTGTGTCTAAAAAACTACTAAATTTCTGTGTCTATATATAAATCTTTTTCTGCACCTGGCATTTATATTTTTTATTTATATTTATTTTAAAAATCATATCTTTTATCTTCTCGTCGTCGTGAGTATGTCTATTCGCTTGACCTTTAAAAATTTTGCTCTATTATTTATTTATTTTGAATTTAACTGAAATTTAAATTTTCTTAATTTTTTTTTTTTTTTTTTGCTTTTTCTTCCTTTTTTTCTAAAAACTATTAATTTTTTGTTTCTTAATTTTCTAATATATCTTAAAAATGTTCATTTTTTTATTTCTTTGGAAGCTGTTTTTTAGTTTATTTATATAATTTTTTTTTCTGTCTTTATTTCATAACCAATTTATTATATTTACGATATTTTCTCTAAAAAAAAAAAAAAAAAAAAAAAAATCCACTTTTTTCAAGTTTGATTATTCTTTGTTTTATATTGGGGCGGGAGCGTTAGTTTTGTTGTTTTTGTTGTTGTTTTTATGTAAATTTCATTATAAGCCTGGTATGTCAAATGAGCGGTATGTGGGTTGGTTGTTTCATTCTTTTATTTTTCCAAAATAAATGCAGTTTAGGATTTTTTAAAGAATTCGTTTTCATATTTTTTTTGTTGTTTTTTTTTTTTGTTTTTTTTTTTTTGTTTTTTTGTTTTATACTTTTACTTATTTTGAAAATGTTTAAACAAGTTCTAAGAACTAGCAACGCTATGAAAGAAAAGCTTTATATTTACAAACACAGTACTTTTTACTTAACTAATAGTATTGTAAAAATTAGGTAAGAATTATCGGAGCACTGTCCACCGCTACACATGCAAATGCTGTTTATGCTTGTTAGGGCCGATAGGGTGTAATGCGTTAAAAGCTTCCAAAACTGATAAGCGAAACTCTTCTCACTTATCACTGAAAAATATTGTACCGTTTTGGGATCTTAAACCGACCGATCAAAAGAAGTCTTACGCTACATTCATAGAACAAAACATGACGACTAAAACGATTTTACAATTGGGCACGAGTGATCATTAAATATTCTCGAACAGCTGTCTAACAATAATCGCAAAACAGAAAAAAATAGTTTGGCGTAGATGTAGCATAATAATGTTGTACGCCAAACGACTATCCTGTTCAAATTGAGATCATAAAGTGCTAAAAATTAAAACTTGTCATTAAATAAAAGTTCATAGAATGGATAGAAGGTTGAAAAATTCCTTCCAAGAACATTTTTTTCACTTTATAAAAATTTTAAAATTCAAATATAGATGGGGAAGAGTATCAAATACGATTTGGGCCAATTCATCGAATTCCATTAATATATTTCGATGAATAAAAATCAGATGAGAGCATAGACAGACGGACAGACAGCACTATTTTCAATATAGGCAAAATTAAGTGAACTTCTTCTACGTTTCGTTTCTGTTTGGCCAGCTCACGTAACCTTAATTAATAATGAACTTTTTGCAATTTTCGGGTATACCTGCGTTACGATAATACCTAACGGACGGAAATTCTTAATTCCCATTTCTTTCAGGGCATATACTGAAAATAACGTAAGTAGGGATAATACTGTTCGTTAATGACTGATAATGAGATATACGAAATTACGAATTATTTAAGGTTAGGGCGAACATCCTACCCATCGCAATGCTCACAAATGATAATTGAATAAAAATCTGTATTGGAAGAGGAATATCAAGAATTCATCCTAATATTAATGCTTGCTGTTATAAAAGCACAAACTTCCACTAAATGTAAAGTACTGTCTTTCATATATCTGTCTCTTTCATTTTGGTGTCATTTTGTAACTTTTAGTTAACTTTTTGATAAGATAACTTCGAGAAGTTTCAGGCACCTCGCCGATGATACCTAAAGCAAACACCTTTCAAACACCTTGTCATTGTTACGTAAGAAATAGAAAAAGCGCCAAACAGTTTTTTCTTTTTTTTTTTTTAGTTTCCTAAATTTTTGAACAAGCTTTGAAAAAAAGATGAGGGCAACCCTTGATCTTAGCTTACGTGACTTGGATACATTTTAAAACTATTTATAAGTATCAATAAAAGGTTGGAGCTTTATTCAGTTGTTTTTGCGTCCTTGTTTGTCTTCAGATTGAAAGTCCGCTTAACTATGCCTGACAGTGCATTTGTACGTTTGTCATTAAAAACATCCACGGACGCAGAAACTCGTATATGATAAACTTAACGCAAACATTCGTAATCCGCTTAAGCTTAACATAACTGAAGAAAGTGTATCGTCGTTTAAATTTATGAAAGGAATGCTTTAACGCCGTTTGTCAATCTCATCTCTTTTCCCATGTAACTAACAACTAATGAAAAACATTTGCAGAAATATCAAATCAATTACCTTTGTATTTTACACAGATCGTTAAAGCATTCCAAAGCAATAGACGCGAAGTAGAAAAACGGCCACAACTCTCTGATAAAAAATTTATTGGGCTTTAAAGTAAAATAGTAGTAAAAGAGTATGCATAACAA